GAGAGGGCGGGGTTTATGACCTATACTGGGACCAGCCACCTGGGGCGATCGAAACGCAAAGATGGGCATTTAGAATAATGCATAGACGATAGGCATGCATAAAGATTTCTTTGGTTCATAGGTTCAGCAAATTAGTAGGCCTATTTTTTTTATCATTAAACTTTTTTTTTGGTTCTGTAATGGTCTTCAGTTACTGTATTATTCTTTTGAGATGGAAAAAAAAGTAACATTTGGTTCTTCATATCAGTATATTGACTATATACTGTACATTGGTCAGTATATTTCAGTATATCAGTATATTGAAATGGTTTAAAGCATCTGGTTTTTATGAATAGGTTAAAGGTTTTGGTGGAACCAAAAAGTTGTCTTACTACATCAGATAAAATAAAATAGGAGAATACTTTATTATTGTATTTATTCTTATGCGGCACTGTAAGAATAAACAGTCCAAACGGGGAAAAAAAGTTTAATCGCTTAAAACAGGCATAGGCTACACTGAATTGCAGTCTTTGAGCCTATTGTATTTGTATTTGTCAATTATTTTAAAACAATGATGATGAGAATCAAAATACTCAGTTTGTCCACACCGTGGATATCAATAATTTTAATGAGAAGCGAGTTGTTTGCATAACAAGATTAACCTGCTCTAACCAGGTGACACCCTCCTGACATTCACGATCGAGATCCACAGACAAGCACACATCGCTGGATTCAAAGCTGAACACTAAATGTGAGTAAATGTTCGGTGAGTAAATGATGTTCGGGCTTGTAACTGGATGAATTATCTGATAACTCAGTGATCATGAAACCTTAGTTCAGCCTCGACTGAAAAAAAGTATAAATTCATCGTTTGTTTGTTAATGTATTTACCTTTATTTCTTTCAAAGTATCATTACTAATTAGAAAATTAGGTTCACTAAGCATTTTGTAATTTATAATTAGCTTACGTTTTTCTGGGTTTCAAAATCCAAACCGGTTCTGCTTTCTAAAGAGCAGTTATGACACAGTCACGTTATAATGGTAGGCTGTGTTACTTAAAGGATTAGTTGACTTTCAAATTTAATTGGATGAATTATCTGATAACTCAGTGATCATGAAACCTTAGTTCAGCCTCGACTGAAAAAAAGTATAAATTCATCGTTTGTTTGTCAAATATATTTACCTTTATTTCTTTCAAATTATCATTATTCATTAGAACATTAGGTTCACAAAGCATTTAGTTCTTCAAAATTCAAAATCGGTTCTGCTTTCTAAAGAGCAGTTATGACACAGTCACGTTATAATGGTAGGCTGTGTTACTTAAAGGATTAGTTGACTTTCAAATTCAAATTTCCTGATAAAACACTCATCCCCATGTCATCCAAGATGAGTAAATTATCAGGAAAGTTTAATTTGAAAGTCAACTAATCCTTTAATATCAGGGCCAATGAGTTTGTTGAACTCTTGTCGTTTTTGTGTTCCTTCTCATTTTCTATTGTAACATCAGTAAATCATAAATAACAAATTCATGTCAATTGAAATATGATTTATTTTAGAAATAGAGTATAGTGATACAATGTAAAGCTTTTTGGCAGTAGTATATCATCTGTTGAACATAAAAAAACCCCTCTAGTTTAAAACACGTGGCAAATCTGAAATGCTTTAAAATTAGCTACTTTTAAGTAGGCTACTTTAATTTTGGCAAGTCTTCAAATTAGCTTAAACCGGCTAAACAGATACAGCTACGACCGGAAACGAACAATAAATTAATTTTTATACCTTTTATATTGTGTTTTATTAACGTCTACATCAATCCCAACCCTAAACCTACCCCTTACAATATTGCAAAAACAGTAATTATTGTTGTACAATGTGACAAAAATTATGCTATAGCCTATTGATGTGCACATGCCCAGTAGCCGCAGCTGTATCCCTTCTAGACTTTAAGGGATTGTTCACCCAAAAATGAAAATTCTGTCATTAATTACTCACCCTCGTGTAAGTTACAAACCCACCTCCATTCATCCGTGATTTTCCTGCACGTAAACAACGCATGCGCATGGTGCTGCTGATGTAGAACATGCATGAAAAGTCAGTCTATTACTCTTCCTCTAACCCTTTATTTCTATAAATAAATGTCTTTATTGTCATTTATTGCTCAGGTACTTGCAGCTGATCTCAGGATAAGGTGCAGAAAGGTGCTAGAGGAATCACCTGGAATCCCCTCGACCTCACTCTAAACATCAGAGAGTAGAACTGTAGAAGCCCCACAGCATTCAAAATGCGCTGGTGTAAATATGTAAAGGTCATCTTGGTTTTGTTAAGTGCCACCATCTTTACTGTGACCATACATAAAGTTCCTAAGTTCCTTATGAAAGATTTGGTGAACAATAGCGTGGTGGAGCGGCTCCTTCATGAAGAACCATGTGCCTGTATGGAGCGATGGAGCGCTGCGAGTGATGACGAGTTGTTTGCTGAACATTTCAGAAAAGATGTCCCACCAGTGCTCTCTCTCAATAACAGCGTCCTCCCTGACCACGTCTTTAAGTGGTGGCAGGTATTGGCTTAGTGTGTGTTTCTCATTTGATACTTCAGCCCACTTCAATGTACAGTAAGCTGGACTGTGTGCAATTCAGAATTTAATAGAGAATGCTTTCAAATTATGTCTAAGACATCCTTTTTTT